GTCAGTTAAAAACAGAGTAGGGGAGTTAGTAGATGGGGAGAGGGAGGTATTAGGTAGATGGCGAGAATATTTTGAGGAACTTTTAAATGCTGAGGAAGAAAGGGAGGCGGTAATTTCATGCACTGGCCAGGGAGGTGTACCATCTTTTAGGAGTGAAGAAGAGCAGAATGTAAGTGTGGGGGAGGTACGCGAGCCATTACGTAAAATGAAAGAGGGTAAAGCAGCTGGAACTGATGGGATCATGACAGAAATGTTAAAAGCAGGGGTGGATATAGTGTTGGAGTGGTTGGTACTTTTGTTTAATAAATGTATGAAAGAGGGGAAGGTACCTAGGGATTGGAGGTGAGCATGTATAGTCCCTTTATATAAAGGGAAGGGGGGCAAAAGAGATTGTAAAAATTATAGGAGAATAAGTTTACTGAGTATACCAGGAAAAGTGTACGGTAGGGTTATAATTGAAAGAATTAGAGGTAAGACAGAATGTAGGATTGTGGATGAGCAAGGAGGTTTCAGAGTGGGTAGGGGATGTGTAGATCAAGTGTTTACATTGAAGCATATATGTGAACAATATCTAGATAAAGGTAGGGAAGTTTTTATTGCATTTATGGATTTAGAAAAGGCATATGATAGAGTGGATAGGGGAGCAATGTGGCAGATGTTGCAAGTATATGGAATAAGTGGTAAGTTACTAAATGCTGTAAAGAGTTTTTATGAGGATAGTGAGGCTCAGGTTAGGGTGTGTAGAAGAGAGGGAGACTACTTCCCGGTAAAAGTAGGTCTTAGACAGGGATGTGTAATGCCACCATGGTTGTTTAATATATTTATAGATGGGGTTGTAAAAGAAATAAATGCTAGGGTGTTTGGGAGGGGTGGGATTAAATTATGGGGAATCAAATACAAAATGGGAATTGACACAGTTACTTTTTGCTGATGATACTGTGCTTATGGGAGATTCTAAAGAAAAATTGCAAAGGTTAGTGGATGAGTTTGGGAGTGTGTGTAAAGGTAGAAAGTTGAAAGTGAACATAGAAAAGAGTAAGGTGATGAGGGTATCAAATGATTTAGATAAAGAGAAATTGGATATCAAACTGGGGAAGAGGAGTATGGAAGAAGTGAATGTTTTCAGATACTTGGGAGTTGACGTGTCGGCGGACGGATTTATGAAGGATGAGGTTAATCATAGAATTGACGAGGGAAAAAAGGTGAGTGGTGCGTTGAGGTATATGTGGAGTCAAAAAACGTTATCTATGGAGGCAAAGAAGGGAATGTATGAAAGTATAGTAGTGCCAACACTCTTATATGGGTGTGAAGCTGGGGTTGTGAACACAGCAGCGAGGAGGCGGTTGGAGGCAGTGGAGATGTCCTGTCTAAGGGCAATGTGTGTTGTAAATATTATGCAGAAAATTTGGAGTGTGGAAATTCGGAGGTGTGGAGTTAATAAAAGTATTAGTCAGAGGGCTGAAGAGGGGTTGTTGAGGTGGTTTGGTCATTTAGAGAGAATGGATCAAAGTAGAATGACATGGAGAGTATTTAAATCTGTAGGAGAAGGAAGGAAGGATAGGGGTCGTCCTCGAAAAGGTTGGAAGGAAGGGGTAAGGGAGGTTTTGTGGGCGAGGGGCTTGGACTTCCAGTAGGCGTGCATGAGCGTGTTCGATAGGAGTGAATGGAGACAAATGGTATTTGGGACCTGACGATCTGTTGGAGTGTGAGCAGGGTAATATTTAGTGAAGGGTTTTAGGGAAACCGGTTATTTTTATATAGCCGGACTTGTATCCTGGAAATGGGAAGTACAATGCCTGCACTCTGAAGGAGGGGGTTCGGGATATTAGCAGTTTGGAGGGATATGTTGTGTATCTTTATACATATATGCTTCTAAACTGTTGTGTTCTGAGCACCTCTGCAAAAACAGTGATTATGTGTGAGTGAGGTGAAAGTGTTGAATGGTGATGAAAGTATTTTCTTTTTGGGGATTTTTTCTTTCTTTTTGGGTCACCCTGCCTCGGTGAGATACGGCCGACTTGTTGAAAAAAAAAAAAAATCTAAAGTGCTATACTCTGCTTGAAGATGTGAGTAAAGATGATGATGCAGTCTTGTGGCTCTCTCTGAGACAGAGCTAGATGGATAGACAGATAGACAGGGAGCTTGACAAACAGACAAATAGACAGACAGAAATGTTTGTGTACCAGCAAAAACAAAGGGAGGGGGATGGTCATCTAATCTTTTCTTATCAGCTGCACCCTCCCACACTCTCGTTTACACTCGTCAAACATCAGCTCTTATCAGATGTTATCTCCCCTTATCATGTCACTGTCAGGGGAGGACTGTTTTTCATGCTTGAAGGGACACATATTATTACATATTATTATTACTTAATATTATTATTATGTGTTATTATTATTATTCACCTCCTCCTCCTCCTCTCCTTCTCCTCCTCCTCCTCCTTCTTCTCCTCCTCCTTCTCCTTCTTCTCCTCCTCCTCCTTCTTCTCCTCCTCCTCCTCCTTCTCCTCCTCCTTCTCCTCCTCCTCCTTCTCCTCCTCCTTCTCCTTCTCCTTCTCCTCCTCCTTCTCCTTCTCCTCCTTCTCCTTCTCCTCCTCCTCCTCATTATTATTATATACTTCCACATATCCAAAACATTGCTAGGACCTATAAATACTTTGTTTATATTCCAAGACAATAGTAAATGACCAAGGCCGGTGTAGATGTCCACCTGTCAGTGTGTTTGTGACAATTTGAGTACAATTTCAGTACCTAATACTAGTGTCAGAACAAAGATTGGTTTTAAAATGACAAGAACTACTACAAATTGTAATTATGAGAACATAAAAATTATATAAAATAATATGAAAAATAAAAAGAAGGTATATCGGCAACACTTCTGCAAGCAGCAGGACTCGATGTTGCTTTCACATGAGCATCCAGTGCCAACTTCTCGGCCTCATATCTCGGTAAGTACTGACCCTAAAAATTTTTTTTTATTCTATAACACTTAGAAAAAGGTGTTCTTTTTTCTATATAAAAAAAAGTTTTTTTTTTTTTTTTCAAAATATTCGGGGCGTTGCGCGAGTGAACGTATATATAAGTTTTGGACCGTTTAAGGGTTAAACATCCATGGTGACATTACACATCCCTGTCTAAAACCTACTTTTACCAGGAAATAGTCTCCCTCTCTTCTACACACCCTAACCTGAGCCTCACTATCCTCATAAAAACTCTTTACAACATTTAGTAACTTACCACTTATTCCATATACTTGCAACATCTGCCACATTGCTTCCCTATCCACTCTATCATATGTTTTTTCTAAATCCATAAATGCAATAAAAACTTCCCTACCTTTATCTAAATACTGCTCACATATATGCTTCAATGTGAACACTTGATCTACACATCCCCTACCCACTCTAAAACCTCCTTGCTCATCCACAATTCTACATTCTGTCTTACCTCTAATTCTTTCAATAATAACCCTACCATACACTTTTCCTGGTATACTCAGTAAACTTATTCCTCTATAATTTTTACAATCTCTTTTGTCCCCCTTCCCTTTATATAAAGGGACAATACACGCTCTCCGCCAATCCTTAGATACCTTCCCCTCTTTCATACATTTATTAAACAAAAATACCAACCATTCCAACACTATGTTCCCCCCTGCTTTTAACATTTCTGTCATGATCCCGTCAGTTCCAGCTGCTTTACCCCCTTTCATTCTACGTAATGCCTCACGCACCTCCCCCACACTCACATCGTGCTCTTCTTCACTCCTAAAAGATGGTATACTTCCCTGGCTAGTGCATGAAATTACTGCCTCCCTTTCTTCGTTGACATTTAAAAGTTCCTCAAAATATTCTCGCCATCTACCCAAAACCTCCATCTCCTCATCTACTAACTCCCCTACTCTGTTTTTAACTGACAAATCCATTTGTTCCCTAGGCTTTCTTAACTTGTTTAACTCACTCCAAAAATTTTTCTTATTTTCATTAAAATTTCTTGACAGTACCTCTCCCACTCTATCATCCGCTCTCCTTTTGCACTCTCTTCACCTTTCTTTTACTCTCCATATACTCTGCTCTTCTTATAACACTTCTACTTTGTAAATACCTCTCATAAGCTACCTTTTTCTCTTTTATCACACCCTTTACTTCATCATTCCACCAATCATTCCTCTTTCCTTCTGCACTCACCCTCCTATAACCACAAACTTCTGCCCCACATTCTAATACTGCATTTTTAAAACTGTTCCAACCCTCTTCAACCCCCCCACTACTCATACCTGCACCAGCCCACCTTTCTGCCAACAGTTGCTTATATTTCACCTGAACTTCCTCCTCCCTTAGTTTATATACTTTCACCTCCCTCTTACTTGTTGCCATTTTCCTCTTATCCCATCTACCTCTTACTCTAACTGTAGCTACAATTAGATAATGATCTGATACATCAGTTGACCCTCTATAAACGTGTACATCCTGGAGCCTACCTATCAACCTTTTATCCACCAATACACAATCTAACAAACTACTTTCATTATGTGCTACATCATACCTTGTATATTTATTTATCCTCTTTTTTATAAAATATGTATTACTTATTACCAAACCTCTTTCTACACAACTCAATTAAAGGCTCCCCATTTTCATTTACCCCTGGCACCCTAAATTTACCTACTATTCCCTCCACAACATTTTTACCCACTTTAGCATTAAAATCCCCAACTACATATATGCTTCTAAACTGTTGTGTTCTGGACACCTCTGCAAAAACAGTGATTATGTATTAGTGAGGTGAAAGTGTTGAATGATGATGAAAGTATTTTCTTTTTGGGGATTTTCTTTCTTTTTGGGTCACCCTGCCTCAGTGGGAGAAGGCCAACTTGTTGGAAAAAAAAAAAATAAAGGAAGACTATAAAAATGTTAGATTATAAATCATGTACACTACATTCAATTAAGGTGCATAAACACAGAACTATTCCATTCCATTATACAGGTACAAGCAACTTACAGGTAAAATGAAATTGGTGAGGGGTGGAAGTAAAGAGCTATATTTATCTATCCACTCTTCTAATTCTATAATGTGACGTGGATTGAAAGAAAGTTTCTCTCGTATGCGTGCCTCCTTCTCTGGGTCATCTGTAATGAAAACAGACTAATTTTATCAAATAAAAAATGTTTATTATCAGTGCAGTGGTACCTCGGTTTTCGTCTTTAATTTGTTCCAGAGAGTCTGACGAAACCGAATTCAACGAAAACTGAAGGAATATTTCCCACGAGAAATAATGTAAATCTAATTAATCCATTCCAGACAACCAAAAATATTAACAAAAAATACATTTTATAGAGAATAACTATAGTTTTACATACAGAAAACAATGAGAAATAAATATAAAGCACTAATGAAATGGATAAATAAACACTTAAATCATTTTTATCTTTATTGAAGACTCTTGTTGGCATATGGAAGACGGTGAGGAGGGGAGGGGGAGGAGAGGTTATCTCTACCACCATCACTACCACCCTCTACCACTACCACCCTCTACCACCAGTGAATTCTATTGTGTTTCTTCCTTTCTTTATCAAAGGACTGGCACTCGGAACTTTCTTTGGCCCCATGGTGGCTTATTTAGCAGTTGCACTCGATAAACAAGCACAAAAAAAAAAATAGATTATTATGAAATGTTTCGTATGAATGCACGGGGTAATGTTCACTCGATGAGAAACAAATCCAAACTGACTCAGAATGCATACGTGGGATGCTTTGTGTGGGTGTGAGCAGACAAACACATTCGGTACGGTGAATGAAAACTGAGGTGATGAATAAAAACTACGACAATATTTTGATGAAAAAAGTAGTCGAAAACCAAATTCGACGAAAATCACAACAAACGAAAACCGAGGTTACACTGTATACAATATAGTCATTAAAACTGAGCAAGATAAAGAGATCATTCTGCCAAAATAATGTTAGTAAAAATTTCACTTTGAAATTATTTTCAATTTGTATGTATCACGGTAACACTTTCCTTCTAAGAAGCATACTATAATGGTAGTGGGTTTGTCAACCATCTCTGATATTGTTTTAATGTCACCTTCACACCATTTATAACATTTTTAGTATAATTTTTAAATGTTAATAGCATACTGTATATTGTAATAAACAGAATAGAGGAAATCAGCTCTAATATACGTTATTTAGGTACGCACACTGGTCAGAGAGCCCGTATTAAGTCTGAGTCGTCGGTAAATAAGTACATTGCTAAGTGAGGAGAGGCTGTATACACAAACTACAATGCTGCATTTTCTTATGTAAAATGAATAAGGTCAGTTACTGTCTGCCTGAACTACAGAGTAAGTGATCAGTAATACAATAGTTGTATGCTCAGAAGGCAGAATTTAATAAGTTTATCAGATACCTTTGCAACATTAAAACCGAAGATGTATGAAAACTGCTATATTCATATGCTTTGTTCTCCTATCTTGCCAAATATAAATACAGTATACCTTGTTCTTCTATCATGCCAAGTACAGATATGGATATTGCCAAGGAAACTACATTCTTGTACAGTAGAGCAAGTGGTGTGGCAAGTCCTTCCTCATTTGTCTACTAAACACTAAACTAAACATTACTAAACATTTGTGAAAACATATTAGGCCCACCAGATGATGCATATTGGATGCATGACATGATTTGTTTACTCTTGAACATCAGCAAAAATTGAACATTTCTGCTATTTTGAGCTCAATTTCAAGGTACTTTTAGTTTGTAAACCATTCAAAATCAGCTCTATTTCTGTAATATATCTTCCATTCTATCAAATGAGACCAAGAAAATGAGAATGCAGCTATAAATACCATACAAATATACACAGCAAAGTCACTGTTTTAAACCAAAAACATGTTTTGTTTTTTTTTCCTTCATTATACACTGCTTGCTGCAGGATTTTTTTTATACTGCGCACATTGACCACTCAGACCCATTCTCTCATGTGTTGGCCTATCAGCTATTTCCTGCAAGACTGGAAGCCATTACAATTTTGGCGTAGTATTACAGGACCGACACTGGCCTGCAAGCCATAATATTACGGGACCAACAGTGAAAGGGTTAACGCCAGGATCCCTCATGTAGTTCTATGTAATGAGCTCAGCTCACTCAGATAAGCTGTGAGCAGTAAATTTTGGCCTAGATGTAAGAGAATGGGTCTGCCCGGTGAAGGTGTACAGTATAAAAAAAATAATCCTGCCCTGCATGGGGCAGGATTATTGTTTTTGTGGTTTTATTAGCAGCTTCTTGGTCTCATTTGATAGAATGAAAGACATACTACTGAAACAGGATGATGACAGATGACAGATCAAAAATGTTTCATATTAGTAGCCTGGGCTTTGAAGGTGGTTGTCTGGGCAACCAGGATATCCCCCTAAATAGCAGCATTAACCTTTACCCAGGAAAAAAATAAAGTCAACAACTTAAATGTACCCTTCTGAGGTACTTAATAAAAAATTTAATAACAATAATAATAGTAGTAATAATCTGACTGTGATGCCAGCAAGTGAATGAATGTTGGTAAATGTGCTTTCTTTGGGTCACTTTGCCTTGGCAGGAGATGGCTGTTGAATTAAAAAATAATAATAGTAGTACAGGTCAGCCATCACTAATCCAGCATCATTGGAACCTGTAGTGTGCCGGATTAGTGAGTTTGCCGGATTATAGTGCGGTTAGGTTAGAATACACTTAATTAACCTATCACAAACTCTCTTTCTGCTACATTTTCCTCATTTTCATCACTGCTTTCTCCTCCACTGGCTTGCTGCTGTGGATTTACAACCATATGCACAATTTCTGAGACAGTATAATGATGAAATCTGCATCAGTGCAATGATGAAATTTGAAATTATGCTAGCTGAAATTAGTGCCAGATTACTGATGGAACCGGACAACTGACTGCTGGATTAGCAATGGCCAAACTGTAATAATAATAATAATAATCTGGGTTGGAGGGAAGAACGGGTAGGTGTCATTCTACAAAATTTTGGAGGGAAGTGGTAATAGAGGTTTTTGAGTGCTAGGGGCCTGGACATCCAACAGGCTTGTGCGAGTGTGTTTGACGGAAGGGAATGTGAGCAAGGTAAGATTTATGAAGAAATTAAGGACAACTGGTTGTCTGGCCATGAACCCTGAGGTGTGAAGTACAGTGCCACACACTGAATGAGTGGTGGGGATGCTGTGGCTTGGAGATCAGATGAACTGTGTGATCAGTGAGCATCTGGCAAAACAGTGACTAAACAATAGTGAAAGTTTTCCTTTGTCGCGTTACCCTACCTCGGTGGGAGGCTGCTGGTGTGCTAAAAAAAATAAAGTAATAATACAGGATGAAGGATCAGGAAGGTTATGGAAGTGAGTAAAATAAAGAAATGATGGTTATCTTGGTGATCTAAAATGAAGGCTTCAACTCTTCATACAAGCTTTAAACTGCTTAAAACTGGAATGTCCCCCAGACGAATGCAATCCATGAAAGAGTAACACTGGAAGCATAGAAATACGCCTGGTTCCACAGTCTTATCTAAACAAAACCAAGAAAAGTTGAAGACAAAATGAAGGTTCATTATCAGCTCCAAGAAAAATGAGTTAAAGTTTTCATTATGTTCATTCTGCTAAGACATGCAGCATTTTGGGAAGACTATGTACAACTGCAACTCTGCTATATAGACAAAAACTTACCAATAGCATACTGGGGCCGAGGTGTGGCTAGAAGGCTGGAAATGTCCTGAAGGATACACTGAATCCTCTCCAACTGATCTGCATACTCATGGTTCTTCTCTTGCGCATATTCTTTAGCTAGCCTAAAGAAGACCAGCGAAACAAGTTTTAAATATTTTTATAATCCACATAAACTGCATTTTTAGTAGACGATGACTGATGATATTAGTATTATTACATTTATGGGGAATCATTAAACACATAGGAGTCATACAACATCTGGGGAAATGGGAGGCAATTAAGTTCAATCCAAGGAAGGGAAGATCAGGTCCAGTTTCTTGGAACCAGAGCCCATTACTAGTATCAAGGAATCTTCCTTGAGGAGACTCATATGACCAGGAGGTCATATGAATTGTGATGGCTTTGCACTTCTGGCAAGACAACTATTGGGAGATGGCCGACAGGTACAGTAGTGTGCAAATTAATCAGCAAATTTTGTGATTATCTTATATTATGTCTTAAGTCTCAGGCTTAATTAATGAAATTTGGGTTCTTTTCGTTTCAGAAGAGTTTGCTACCGACTTCTGGCAACCATCCAGCTGTAGTGTTACCCTGCTACTCTTGTTAGTGCTACAACAGCTGTTGTTCTGTAAAGCTATGCCTGCAAATGTGCTCAGTCAGTGAATGTGGCTTTGCTAAATTCTTCTCTTCAGCTCATGATTACTGCTAAAATTTATGATGGATGATACACCTAGGGAGCATGCAAGTATTGTAGCTCTTAGAAAACATGCTGATTTGAGTATCAGACAGATTGCCATAAATTTGAGCCAAGCAAAGTCAACTGTTGGTTGGATTATGAAGAGAGCTAATGATACTGGTGATTGTGGAGCACTGTGTCTAGGAAGATGTGGAAGAAAACACAAGACAATACCTCACGATGACAAAGTTATCATAAGAAATAAGAACATAAGAATGGAGGAACACTGCAGAAGGTCTACTGGCCCATGCGAGGCCGGTTCTTATCAAAACGACTACTACCTAAAGCTTCCCTGGAAATAACTCCCGTACCCAATGACACCAATCAAACCCAGCCCCTCCCACTCATATATTTGTCCAGTCTCTTCTTAAAGCTACCCAAGGTCCTAGCCTCTATCACCCCACTGGGAAGACTGTTCCACGCATCTACAACTCTGTTAGAAAACCAGTACTTACCTATGTCCTTTCTAAATCTAAATTTATCCAACTTAAATCCATTATTCCTGGTTCTTACCTGGTTCGACACCCTCAGTACTTTATTAATATCTCCCTTGTTCATGCCCGTCCAGAGAGTGGAGATTTAAGGCTTTGAGTATCTTCATACAGGAGGTTCCTTACACAGTAAATCATTTTAGTCATTCTTCTCTGTATGTTCTCTAACGAGTCTATATCCATCCTGTAGTAAGGAGACCAAAACTGAGCAGCATAATCCAAATGAGGCCTCACTAGTGATGTATAGAGCTATAAAATAACTTTTGGACTTCTGTTACTTATACTTCTTGAGATAAATCCAAGTAATCTGTTGGCCTTGTTGTGCACACTAAGGCACTGCTGTCTTGGCTTTAGATTTCTGCTTACCATGACTCCCAAGTCTTTTTCACATTCTGTATGATCAAGCTCTACTTCACCTAGATTATAGCTTCGAGGGTTATTTTCATTACCAAGGGCAAGTACCTTACACTTATCCACATTGAACTTCATCTGCCATTTTTCAGACCAAGACATTAATTTGTCCAAATCGTCCTGGAGTTCATTGATATCCTCCTCATAGTGAATTATACGGCCTATCTTTGTATCATCAGCAAATTTACTCATGTCACTCGTAATCCCTTCATCAAGGTCATTAATTTAAATTATGAACAAGAGAGGGCCTAAAACTGATCCTTGTGGAACGCCACTAGTGACTAATCCCCATTCAGATTTCACTCCATTAATGGTAACTCTCTGCTTTCTATTGGTAAGCCATGCCTCAATCCATGCTAGAACTTTACCTCCTATACCATGAGCTGCCACTTTTCTTAAGAGTCTCTTGTGAGGTACTCTATCGAAGGCTTTACTAAAATCCAAATAAACAATATCATATTCCTTATCTCTGTCAACTGCCTCAAATGTTCTACTGAAGAACGTCAGTAAGTTTGTCAGGCAGGAACGACCTCTCGTGAATCCATGCTGAGATTCATTTATCAAGTTATGCTCTTCAAGGTGACTTCTGATAATGTCAGCTATAATTGATTCTAATAACTTGCCCACTATAGATGTCAGGCTTATTGGACGGTAATTTGAAGGAGTGGACTTATCCCCTGATTTGAATATAGGAACCACATTAGCCATCTTCCACAACTCTGGCACAACAACGGTAAGGATGGACGCATTGAATACACTCGTTAATGGCTGACTAAGCTCCATCTTGCATTCCTTAAGTACCCTGGAAAACAACTCATCGGGTCCCGGGGACTTATTTTGTTTCAGTTTGTCTATCTGTTTAATAACCATGTCCCTCGTGACAGTAATATTAGTTAACTTAAATTCATCAGGAACTAAATAATTGTTAATTACTGGAATCTCATTTACATCTTCCTGTGTAAAAACTGACAAAAAATAGTCATTAAATAAGGAACACATTTCCAGTTCATTATCCGTCAGCTGTCCATTCCCAGTTTTCAGAGGTCGTACTTTTTCCTTCACCTTCGTCCTATACACTTGAAAGAACCCCTTTGGATTAGTCTTTGATTCATTAGCAACTCTAATTTCATAGTCACGTTTAGCCTTTCTAATCGACCTTTTTTACTTCTCTTTTAAGCTGAACATATTGGTCAGTAAGGTTAACCTCTCCTCTTCTGATGCGCCTATAAATTCCCCTTTTCTCCCCTAATAGATGCTTTAGCCTCCTGTTAACCCATTTGGGATCATTATTATTAGACCTAATTTCTCTCTGGGGAATGTATATACTCTGGGCACTGTGTACATTATTAAGAAAACAATCATAAAAGCAGATCCCTTCATATTCATAAGTATGATTATCGTCAATAAAATCATTAGTTAGATAACCCCAATCAAGATTAGACAGATGTTCCCTAAGTCCATTATAATCGGCAGAACGAAAATCAGGGATTTTTACTGTATTATCATTATTCTTGCATTCCCAATTAATGCTAAAAGTGATGGATTTGTGATCACTTGCGCCAAGCTCTTCAGTGATCTCCAGATTATTCACGAGTGTTTCCTTATTTGACAAGACTAGGTCTAGCAAATTATTACCCCTGGTAGGCTCAGTTATGCTCTGTTTCAGAAAACAGTCCTGAACTGTTTCCATAAAGTCACTGGACTCTAGATTACCTGTCAAAGAATTCCAGTCAATTTGACTAAAGTTAAACTCCCCTACTATGACTATGTTACTGTGTCCAGAAGCCCTAACAATTTCGTCCCAAAGAAGTCTCCCTCTATCGTGATCCAAGCCTGGAGGTCGGTATATTACACCTAGAATTAGTTTTTCTTGACCCTCCACGAACTCTACCCAAAAAGACTCTGTTACTGCTCCATCTATTTTTATACCTGTTTTTATGCAACAATTAATATTTTCTCGAACATACAATGCAACTCCTCCCCCTTCCCATTACATCTATCCACATTGAACAACTTAAATCCCTGAATATTACACTCAGCAGTCATATCCCGACTCTTTAAATCATACCACGTTTCAGTTAATGCAATGATATCAAAGTTCCCAGCACATGCTACCAAACGTAGTTCATTAATTTTATTTCTTGCACTTCGACTGTTAGCATAAAATACCATCATATGTTTTTTCTTCTGCACATTTTTCCTATTCATCTTTGTTTTTACACAATTTCTGAAATTATCATTACCCAGAGTTACTCCATGACAGTTACTATTAAGATTCTTAATATCAGAGCATAAGTCAATATATCCATACTCATTATTTATCATTTCTAAACCCATACCTCTAGCTAATCCTAGTTTAAAGTCCTAACAACCCCCTCAACTGAGTTAGCAAGAAAACCCACACCTGCCCTGGATAAGTGAACCCCATCCCTGGCATACATGTCATTTCGGCCATAGAAGTTGTCCCAGTTGTCAATGAATGGTACTGCATTATCCTTACAGTGTTTATCCAGCCAACAATTAATACCAATTGCTCTGGACAACCATTCATTACCAACACCTCTTCTTGGCAAAATGCCACATATAACAGGGCGCCCCCCCCCTTACTCCTAATTATGTCTATAGCTGTCCTGAACTTTCTAACTAAATCCTCACTTCTACGCTTGCCTACATCATTGCCTCCAGCACTGAGGCAAATAATAGGATTGATCCCATTACCGTTCATGATGTTGTCAAGCCGGCTAACAATGTCCTCCATCCCAGCCCTAGGAAAGCATACCCTCTGTCTCCTACTCCTGTCCTTCAAGCAGAATGCCCTATCCATGTATCTAACCTGGCTATCCCCAACAACAACAATATTCTTACCTTCCTTGTTGTCGTTCGTCGTGACGATCCCAGTAGTCGACTCACATTCGTCGGGTAGCACCAAGAATGCGTTGGAGGTTTCCACAGGAGTTTCCACAGCAGTCTCTTTCTTCTTCATCGTTTCTGGCTTTCCATTCGTCTTCTTGATCGTCAACTTCATCGTCCCCTGCTGTCCAGCCACTGACCACGATCCCTTCTTGACCTGAGGACTCGAAACAGGGGGACTACTACGAATCCTCTTGTTTTCCTCGGTCAATCGCCGTATCTCCATCTTCGCTGCCCTCAATTCTTCCTTAAGTTGCTGGTAAAGTTGCTCGATGGAGGGCATCTTGGTTCAGTCCACGGAAGCACACAAGACACTTCTTCACAGAGTTAAGTACAGATCACCACTAAGTTAAGTACAGGTCACCACTGAGTTAAGTACAGGTGAAAGCTCAAAAGAAAACCAGCAAAGCCCTACAGAGAGATTTGGCTTCAGCTAGCGTAAATGTTGATTCTTCAAGTGTTTGACGAAGGCTCCTTGAAGTTGGCAGAACTGCCACAAAGGCAGTAAAGAAACAAGTATTGACTGCTTCTGTGAAGAAAAAATGGCTGCGGTGGGCACTCGATCATAAGGGATGGACGAGAGATGAACAATGAAAAGTTATAGTTTCAAATGAGGAGTAATTTGAAGTGCATGGGTATACATTAGTGGTAGTGAGATGGAGCAAAGGCAAACCTCTTTGGAAGGAACACATTCAACAAGCGCCAAAGCACCCACCTACAATGATGTTTTATGGTAGTTTTACTGCTAAAGGCCCTGGACAGCTTGTTATTGTTGAAGGAACGATGAATAATGACAAATACAAGGCAATCCTAGCAACTTATTTGCTTCCTGTTGTGCACAGAGATTTTCCTGATAGAAAAGGCATTTCCCAGCAGGATATTGCTCCATGCCACACTTCCAGAAAAATGCTGAAATTCTTGGAAGAGAGTGGGCTAAGAGTTCTAAATTGGCCTGGAAACTCTCCTGACCTCAATCCAATCGAGAATCTATGGGCAATAACCAAACGCAGGATTGCAAAACAAGACTGTCCAACTGTGCAGTAGCTAATGGCTGCTGTTAAAATTTAGGACCTGGTACCATGATGAACTTGCCAAAATGTGTTCAACATTGGTCGATTCTATGCCAAAGCATGTAGCAAGGCTTACAAAAGCAAAGGGTAGTCATATCTTTTATTAAGTTAATTATCTGTTATATCAATGTATTTTTCAAATAAATATTTGTTTTCCAAATGTCTTATTTCATCAGTGTCCCAATTAACCCGTAAACGGTCCAAACGTATATATATAGGTTTTTTCAACATTTGATAGTATATAAAAAAAGTAGATTTTTTTTTTTTTATATTTGAAAACGTGTAAAAAACTTTGATCTACGTATTTTTTTTGTTATATTTGAAAATATGTAAAAAAAACGTAGATCTACTTTTGGAGCACTACACATGTGAACGTAGATCTGGGTGGCCTGGTTGGGTGGCCTGGTGGCTAGAGCTCCCGCTTCACACACGGAGGGCCCGGGTTCGATTCCCGGCGGGTGGAAACATTTCGACACGTTTCCTTACACCTGTTGTCCTGTTCACCTAGCAGCAAATAGGTACCTGGGTGTTAGTCGACTGGTGTGGGTCGCATCCTGGGGGACAAGATTAAGGACCCCAATGGAAATAAGTTAGACAGTCCTCGATGACGCACTGACTTTCTTGGGTTATCCTGGGTGGCTAACCCTCCGGGGTTAAAAATCCGAACGAAATCTTATCTTATCTTATCTCCTTGGACCATTTACGAGTTAATATGCACACTACTGTATAAAAAATTTACTTCATACTGTTTCAATATTGTGAAAAGTTTCTTAAATACAGTATGCTTATACACATACAGGATTATGAAGTTTACTATACAGTTGCTTAATCAACATACAGTCTTACCCAATATGTGAAGAAAGTTCATCAGCCGTTCCTAGTGCATTAAAAAGACGGCCATCTTTTCGTTGACGTTCCCCAGTATAAAGACTTGAAGTTCCTTTGTCCCCAGTTTTTGTATAGATCTTGAAGTCACTGCTGTAAAGAATGAAGTTAAACTTCAATTTAATAAATCTTGATTTCACAATTTTGGATTTGACTGATGAAGCCCAGACAACTGACAAAGGCTTTCCAAAATTATCAACTGCTGTTATGAACCTCTGGGTAAATTGCTTTCAGAAACAATACATAAAGTGAGGAGAGGCTGTATAATGAATACTTGTCAGTGTTTGAATAAGCTCATAAGATAGAAACACAAAATTTGAGCTGCATATTTCAACCTCCAACTGACATCCTCTTCAGCAGATACACCAATGTGTTTAGTATATTGTTTATTTAAGGGGGTATAAAGGTTATCACCTGAACCTCTGACTCGGAGTGTTGAGTATTCATGTCAGGTTATCTATATCCTGGATCTGAACTTGAGATGAAGTGCTCAGAAGTACAACCAATATTTGGAACCAAGGTTATCACTTTTATGTCTTCCTATATAATCCACGTACTTTCCACATTTATGTCTGCTGAGAACTTCAGTTAAAGCCTGAAAAATACAACTCAATTTTTGCATTTCTGCCTATTTATTAATTTAGACATGCCCTTTTATCTGAAAACTCAGATACAACATTTTCCAAACACTAAACTTAGCACTATACGTACATGGAAGCTTAAATTACGAATTTGTTACAAAATGGCAAATTAATCTCTCTCTCCAGATATATATTTTAGCACTTATCAGTTATTGTCAAAGGAGTAATTCCCATTACAGACTAACAATGTAAAACCAGAATAGACACCATCTTGGTACATAACATTGTGCAGTATGATGAATTTTAAAAACAATATTGACTAACAAATACATAATGCCTCATAACATGCAGGTTACATTCCTAAAAATCATTGTGCAATTTAAAATTGTTTTGCATGAAGTTATGAACATACAGGAGGGCCCTGCTTTACAGCGCTTTGCTTTACAGAGTTTCACTAATGCAGCAGTCTTCAATTAAACCTATTCCTCATTTAATCCTTTGACTGTCACAAGCCCATTTCTGAAACTGTCATTCTATGTCACAAAATTTTTGAAAAAAAAAAAAAAAAAAAAAATTACTTTTCTTATAAAATGAAAGAGAATCTTTTCCCGATGGTAATGACACCAAAAGTACGAAATTTGATCGAAAACTTACAGAATTACGATCCCACGAAGTTAGCAATTTCAGCGATATATATGAATCGGTGATTTCGCTGCCGACTTTGAGCCCAATTTTAGGCTAATTCCATTGTTCCAGTCAACCAAACTCATAGCTATTTCTTTAGAACTCCATTTTTTCTATCAACTGAGTACAAGAAACTGCCCATTTACCAATTTCAACTACCCAATAAAGTGGTCAGAAATTGGCAATTTGGCCTATTTCATGCAAAGTAAAAAAAATTTCAAAATAGAGTCCAGAATAAGCAATGCAGACATTCTTGGCACTGAAATAACATATCCTCTGTTCATTAGTCACGTCTCTAGGCCCCTCTTATATTACTCTTGCTTTCTATTTTGATTTTTTATTCACACAAAAAATAGAAGATTTACAGTCATGCAGACTACTGCATTATTGTAAAAATGGTATAAATAATATCAGTGCGCTAGTGAAAGAATATTAGACTCCTCAGTTGACATGTATTGGACGTATAGTGTGATTTGCTTACTCTTGAACACTGGTAAAAATCGAAGATTTCTGCTACTTAGAGCTCAATTTCAAGGTCGTTTTCATCGTAATATGTTTTCCATTCTATCAAATGAGACCAAGAAAACGGAATACAATCATAAATACTATACAAAAATACACCTCAAATTTGGCATTTTAATACAAAAACATGGTCAGTTTTTTTCTCATTATGCACTGCGTGCTGCAGGATTTTTTTATACAGTGCACACTGACCACACAGACCCATTCTCTCACATGTGGGCCTACCAGTTTTCTCCTGTTTGATTTGAAGCCGCTAGAATTATTGAGTATACATGTCAAAGTGTTAATGTATGATAGTGTAAACATGTTATTAGACTTTTATATGCATTTGAAAGAATAAGGAGAAGAAACAAGAAACAAGAAAGAAGAAAGCAGCAGCATCAGTGGCAGCAGCACCACCAGCAGCAGCAGCAGCAGGAGCACCAGCAGCAATGTTTCACTTTACATCAGTAGCCCAGAACCTAATCTGCTGTTTGTGTGTGGGACCCTCCTGTACTGTATTTGCTAGACAATTTTTCTCTATTGTGCCTGGTAAATATTTACTAAGGTATAACTTGCCTTACATTCTGACAGTACTTTCATCTTGAAATGAAAGTGTGTGGAGGGGACTGACGTGAACTTACTGTGCTGAGGTTGACGGATGCGGTTCTTGTGTTGATGTGAATGTAGTTATTGGTAGCTGATGGTTATACCTGGAGTATACCTGGAAAGGGTTCCAGGGATCAATGCCCCCCATGGCCTAGTCTGTGACAAGGCCTCACAGTGGATCAGGGCCTTATCAATCAAGCTGTTACTGATGGCCACATACAAACCAACATGTGAACCACAGCCTGGCTGGTCAGCTATTGACTTTAGTTGGCTGTCCAGCACTTTCTTGAAAACAGTCTGGGGTCTATTGGTAATTCCCCTTATGTATGCTGGGAGGCAGTTAAACAGTCTTGGGCCCCTGACATTATTGTGTTGTCTCTTAGCATACTTGTGGCACCCCTGTTTTTCATTGAGGGATGTTGCACTTCCTACCAAGTCTTTTGCTTTCATAGGGAGTGATTTTAATGTGCAAATTTGGGATTAGTCCCTCTAGGATTTTCCAAGCATATATTATCATGTATCTTTCTTGCCTGCATTCCAGGGAATACAAATCAAGGGACCTCAACCATTCCCAGTAATTTAGGCACTTTATTGTACTTATGAATGCTGTGAAATTTCTCTGTACATTCTCCAGGTCTGCAATTTCACCTGCCTTGAAAGGGGCCATTAATGTACAGCAATATTCCAGCCTAGATAGAACAAGCAAATTGAAGAGAATCTCCATGGACTTGGCATCCCTAGTTTTGAAGGTTCTCATTATCCATCCTATCATTTTCCTAGCAAATGTTTTAGATACATTGTTGTGATCTTTGCAATTGAGATCCTCTGATATTATCACTCTCGGGTCCTTCACATTAGTTTTTCGCTTTATTGTGTGGTTGGAACTTGTTTTATACTCCAATAATTTTAATTTCCTCAAGTTTTCCATATCGGAGTAATTAAAATTTCTCTTTACTGAACTTCATACTGTTTTCTGCGGCCCATTTAAAGATTTGGGTGATGTCCGCTTGGAGTCTAACAGTCTTTGATGGATAATCCCATCATGCAAATTCAGGTGTTATCCACAAAGGGAGCCACGGTTGTATCAAAGTGATTAAGTATTCTGTAATGTATCTATGGTATGCATTATCCTGCAATGTTTTAGAGAGCTGATCAGAAAACTGTCATAAAGACATACATTATGGTAAGTGTTATCCTGCAGTGTTTTACAGAGCTATTAGAACATTATGTCATAAAGACATTTCATTATTTAAAACTTTCAAACCATCCAGCACTAAACCTACACTATTGTAAAAGGTTCACATTGCTTTTCACACAGCATTATACATTAGCACAACCAGGATCTGTACCTATCATCTGAGCACTAAATGGAGCCTTTTTTGGTTTTACCTCAATCCACACATTTAGTAACTTTTCCATTTTGTTTAGCTGTAATGTCTTCTCTGACATTCTCTTTGAGCAGGTGACAATCTTCACTACTTAATGCACAAGCTCTCTTTTTCTATTATGTCTTAATTGTATGAATGGTTATATCATTTGCACACAAATCACTAATAGTTTCCATAAAATGACCACCTCTAAGAATATTTTCTTCAATAAAGTCAAAGATTCACACTTATTCTCTTCTTCACACTTTCTTCATCACTAGTATTCACCTTGGGTGCCATGGTTAATATCCAGAGACTAAGAGTTGTGTACCATGACTTGTCATACCCAAATTTTGTGTATGGTGCTTTAATGCTTAATGACATGTAATACCAAGACTCATGTACTATCAAAATTTTTGGTTGCACTTTTTCAATCATGTTGCAAAAAAAAAAAAGTGCACAATGTGAAGCCACACTGTAAAAATTTACTGTATAATTAAACATTATTATATTCAATAAAAGTGCTAAACCCTTAACAGTACAGTAAGAAACAACTGACAACTAAGAAATACTGTAGGGAAATGCTTACCAATATGGACGTATGAAGTTGTACACTAATTGTGGAGATTTCTTGTTCATTTGCAAGAAATGTCTCAAACCATATGCAGTTTCAGGCCAGATGTTGATGGCCACTCTTGTTAAACCTACTAGAGTCTGCAGCTGCATGATGTCCCTTATCTTTAAAACCTGGTAGCACTGTAACATTCAAGCTTTCAAAACTGCCTCTGTAATATTTAAGAATGTATTCATTACAACATTTAAAAAGTATGTATAGTCCTGAGTATTAAGTACGTAAAGGTGTATTTTATGAACTCTTGAACTTTATTTTTCAATATAATATATTTCATAGAATACTATATGTATTAATTTTTATAACACAATTCTGTATACGATGCATTGTACAGAAGAAAAGAATAAGCACAAAATTAAAAAATGGAGAAAAATGCAGTCGTGGGGGAGATCGGAATTATGAAGTTTAAGTTACCATACTTTTTTATGACTTATCAAGGTACCCCTAATCATGGAAGGTATCATTTCCACACTTTCACTAAGTAATGATTCACAATCAAATGACTTCCATTTGTCATAGGGGATGCACTCATCCTCCGAACCCAGAGTGCTACTACTCCTAAAACAAATAAAAAAGGTTTGGCTTATGAATAACTCTAGTCACTCTTGAAGATAAAGAGGCAGGATTAGGACCCTGAGTATGCTACAAGCACCTTCTAGAGGGCAAAAATTCATTTATTATTATTTTCATAAAAGTTTGCCTGTTAAAAATTTACAATTCATTGTATGTGTCTTCAAGTTTTAACATGAACTACGTATATAATTGGTAATTATCAAGTGCTTATTGAATATATAACTTTTAATGTGTTGCAGAAGGGAAAGGGGAATTCTAGAAAAAATCCTGTTTGGTCAAGTGGTTGCAATTATTTCTCACATATGAAAAACCTTCACACACTATCTATGGGTGTGTTTCCTTACACTTGTTGCTCTTGTTTATCTAACAAGTAGGCACTTGGGTACTAGCCAACTGTTATGAGTCATTTAATAGTTTACAATTTTTACTGTATCTATTAGGCTGCTGCTAGGTAATTTGCATGTTACTATGCAAGATAATTGTAATTTCCCAAAAAATGCGTAATTTTGTGACTATAAGTTTATTCTCTAAAAGGATTACAATGTTGAGTTTACAGAATTTGGTTATTGTGTGGTTTACATGTAGTAAAATAATAATTACAGAGGGTACCACTAGAACACCTAGCATGGCTAGGCATTTCGGGCAGACTTAGTTTGATTCTTAAATTTAAAATATTACAAATTATGAGGTAAGTTGGTATTATGGCTAAGTGACTAAATACTAGTTTGTGAGTTTAGCAATGTGAATGCTTTTGTTTTGGCACAATATATAGTAATCCAGGGAAGAGGATCAAAAAAACCCAATGGAAATAAGCCACAGTGGTTTTGTTGGGATACCCTGGGTTACTAACCCTCTAGGTTAATAATTCAAATAAAATCTTCCTAGGTCCTCCAATAAGCTTCCGTCATTCAGGCAATATAGGTTATATTTCCTGCTGTTATTGTAATACGTTATTATTGCTATTATTAATTACTGTTGTTGGTTATTAAATATATTTATTATTAATTGATTTTTGTTATTACTGGCTACTTTTATACTATTATTATTTGCTATTTTTAGTTAAAATAGTTGCTTTTATAGTACTATGTTCGCTTTAATTTCTATATAATTTTTGTTATGGTTCTTAAGGGTCATCCATCAATACTTGCACTGTTAAGCTCTCCCTTTCAGTGTTCAACGTAGAAATGTTGTCCAAATACGGGTGATAATAAGTAAGATAAGTTCTCATACAAGAGAACTCTTTTCTTTCCTCAGCCCGGGCATGGCCAGGTATCAACGCCCTACCCGAGTCACTGACCGGTATACCCAAAAGCCGTATAAGTTTCCGTAGGGAAATAAATGGAGCGTTTTGATGCCCAGATAATTATGCCACCGACAAAAGAATAAAAGGGTCATTCGCCCAAGATATTAATATGGGTAAACTTGCCATATACGTCCAGTACAACGCATGTCTTCACACAACCAAGATCGGCGCAATAGTCCCTTCCCTATCCTGCCCAAACCAACACATGGGCAACTCCAAGGTTAAGTTACGAGTTTTAGAACTGACTGCCTTTGTTAGCGTGTCAGAGGCTACCTTCATGTATCATGTAGTGGTGTAGGATGCACCTACATCATGCCACCACCACTACCAGCTTGATGGACACACAACGCTAATATGACCTCTGCTTCTCCTCCAACTGTGTTTACATGCGTCAGCTGGGAGTCAGCCAGCCTTTACAAAAAAATATATATATATTTTACAAATAATTTTTGCATAATGATTATTTTACCGATACTTGAATAACTTTCATGTTATAAGCAAGTTTATTCAGGTATACACAAATAGTTACATAGATTATCATACACAGTAGCATATGTGAAGAGAACCTGGGATAACCCAAAAAAAGTCAGTGACTTATTTCCATTGGGGTCCTTATGTGGTTTGATTTGTTAATATTGTTGTTAGTAGCAGCAGCAGCATATTTAGGGGGAACGCTAAACCCGTAGGGATCATACATAGCCTGGGCAGAGAGAGCCAATCAATTTTGATCCAAGGAAGATGAGAACAAGTTCAGTTTCGTTGCTTAAGAGACCCTCGAACAGCATTAAGGAACCTCTTTGATTTATTTTACTGATAACAATCTCTTTAAGGCGAGTTAAAATTATCTATGTTAAGATCTATTTGTATTAGTACAATCTTATTGTGAAAATTAGCTACACCACTTTATGACTACCAAGTTTTATTATGCCAAGAAAATGCCTATCACATATTATCAATCTAACTATTATATACATAGTTATCATACATAGTATGACAAATGCAGGACTCCACTGAAAAATAAAGCCACATTACTTGACCTTATTAGGTTAGCCTAGGTTTGCTTCTACATAACTTATATATATATAAAATATTGTAAATGGTTAATCATTACTATTATTATTATAATCAAAAGGAAGCGCTAAACCATAAATGGTTAATATCATACGAGGCCAAACATGCTTCATCTCCCGGCACTTCCATGCATCATGGAACTACAAACCATCTCTGTATTATCATCAAAACCCTTATTATAACATAACCCAGGTAGACACATAGCTCACTGATTTGTGCCATCAGCGTATAACCGAAACGCCCTGGGTTCGATTCCCGGGTAAAGTGAAATGCATGGGCAAGTTTCCTTCCACTTCTGTTCACCTAGCAGTAAATATAGATACTTGGCTGCTAATCAACTATTGTGGGTCTCATCGTAGGGGATAAAACTTCCACTGCAAATGTGTAATAAACTTCAGACCTGCCAGAAGTACATAGTATTGGGTAAGACGCACTTGCGCAGCTCGATATAAGATGCTAAAATATATACTAATTAAAAATATAACAATCCACAACCAATGGAAATAAGTCACTCTGTATGACTTTTTTGGGTTATCTTAGGTTCTCTACACACATATAATGCTATGTATGATAATCTATGTAACTGTATTTGTGTATACCTGAATAAACTTCTAACACTTGGTTGATAGCGCACTCAGCTCCTCGGGGTTTGATCCCCGGCACGGGTGGAAATGAATACAAATAATTATTTTTTTCTGCAATATACAGATAACGTAATTTACGTATAATAAAATATTGTTAGGCACAAAAGAAAGCCACAAGCATGCGGTGTATTTCGGGTAGGCTAATCCTAATTATTAAAGACCACTTTAGAATTAGACATGGAGTTTTTAAATGTACAAAAAAAAAAAAAAAAGAGAGAGGCAGTTAGGTGAATAATAGTACAATTTTAACTGTATTAATACTTCAAAATGATTTAGTGATCGTTAGTTCAGTGGGATTTCTTAAGCAGTTTCAAATTGCTAAGGAAACATATTAGACGTTTCCTTTCACCTGCTGTCCTTGTTCACCTAACAGCAAGTAGGTACCTGGTTGTTAGTCGACTGTTATGGATCGCATCCTGGGAGACAAGATTAAAGGACCCTATTGGAAATGAGACAAACAATCCCCGAAGATGATCTGACATTATTGGGTTATGCTGGGTGGCTAAAAATCTTATCTTAGCAAATACTAATAAAAGATATAGATAAAGATTTATTTATTTATAAAGGCTACAATGTGTAATTACAATTTTGGTTTGCTAAGTAAAAAAGAAAGCCACTATCATTCGCAAAAAAATGCTACATCCATAAAAATTACATCTTTGGTTAATATTGTAATCATTATTTTATTCATTAATTCCAAGAATGAATTTACTGAGCATGATATTACTAGATATAACTTATTTATTTATTTAATGTCTTTGCAAACAGTACATTGATATTGTGTATATACAATAGTATATACTTGTTCGAGTAAGATCATTTTTAAGGTAATAATCATGACTTATTTCTATTTTACCTTACAGGTAGGCTTTAAATAATAAGCTATTACAAGGACCCCAATGGAAATAGTCAGTTTGACTTTTTTGGGGGGTTATCTTAGGCAATTTGCACGTTACTGTGTATGATAATTGCACTTTTGTGTACATGTACCAAAATAAACTTACTAACAACCAGCCCCAGGACCCATGTACCACTGTACTCTTGTCTACCTCTTACACCTCCGTGAAGAGCATGAGGGCCATAATAAAACTATCAGTTCAATCAGTTGGTGATCTCTAGTCCTTCAAGATGATTCTATACTTCAGAGTTAGTAGAATATATTTCCATAGAAGCCTCTTCAAGGACTGGTCATTTTATTTATTACGTACTATTAACCATCCTGGTGGTAGTCATAATTCTTTTATATAGTTTCCCCAACTAAACACTAATGATTGGTGAGCTTTGAATGTGCTACGCAATAAGGGTATTTCCAAAAACATATATAAATATATAATCCAAAATTTGTCTTGGGATCCATTTTACGTATTTTTTCGAAATAAAATTTGTATTCGTATTTACCCGAAATGCTTTTCCATGTAAGATCTTTTTGTAACGCAAAAATATATTTGAAAATAAATGATTATGATTAATTAAACAGAGGGAAGCTGTGAGTTTAGTCAGGGCGGCCGGGGTGACTAAGCGTCCTTGAGTGACAATACTAGTGTCAGTGCTGCTGTGCCAGCCTCTGTGACACTGTTAGTGCTGCTGTACCAGCTTCTGTAACACTGTGTTAGTGCTGCTGTGCCAGCCTCTGCCACTGTTAGTGCTGCTGTACCAGCTTCTGTAACACTGTGTTAGTTCTGCTGTGGCAGCCTCTGTGACACTTGTCAGTGCTGCTGTGCCAGCCTCTGTGACACTGTTAGTGCTGCTGTACCAGCTTCTGTAACACTGTGTCAGTGCTGCTGTGCCAGCCTCTGTGACACTGTTAGTGCTGCTGTGGCAGCCTCTAACAGTGTGTTAGTGCTGCTGTACCAGCCTCTGTAAAACTGTTAGTGCTGCTTTCCAGCCTCTGTAACACTGTGTTAGTGCTGCTGTACCAGCCTCTGTAACACTGTGTTAGTGCTGCTGTACCAGCCTCTGTAACACTGTTAGTGCTGCTGTGCCAGCCTCTGTAACACTGTGTTAGTGTTGCTGTGCCAGCCTCTGTAACACTGTTAGTGCTGCTGTGCCAGCCTCTGTAACAGTGTTAGTGCTGTTGTGCCAACCTCTGTAACAGTGTGTCAGTGCTCCTGTGCCAGCCTCTGTGACACTTAGTGCTGCTGTACCAGCCTCTGTAACACTGTGTTAGTGCTGCTGTGCCAGCCTCTGTAACAGTGTTAGTGCTGCTGTGCCAGCCTCTGTAACACTGTGTTAGTGCTGCTGTGCCAGCCTCTGTAACACTGTTAGTGCTGCTGTACCAGCCTCTCTGACACTGTTAGTGCTGCTGTACCAGCCTCTGTAACAGTGTGTCAGTGCTGCTGTGCCAGCCTCTGTGACACTGTTAGTGCTGCTGTACCAGCCTCTGTAACACTGTGTTAGTGCTGCTGTGCCAGCCTCTGTAACAGTGTTAGTGCTGCTGTGCCAACCTCTGTAACAGTGTGTCAGTGCTGCTGTGCCAGCCTCTGTGACACTGTTAGTGCTGCTGTACCAGCCTCTGTAACACTGTGTCACTGCTGCTGTGCCAGCCTCTGTGACACTTAGTGCTGCTGTGCCAGCCTCTGTAACAGTGTGTCAGTGCTGCTGTACCAGCCTTTGTAATAGTGTGTCAGTGCTGCTGTGCCAGCCTCTGTAACACTGTTAGTGCTGCTGTGCCTGAGGCCTCTGTACAGTCTGTACAGTGCTGCTGTGCCAGCCTCTGTAACAGTGTGTCAGTGCTGCTGTGCCAGCCTCTGTAACAGTGTGTCAGTGCTGCTGTGCCAGCCTCTGTAACAGTGTGTCAGTGCTGCTGTGCCAGCCTCTGTAACAGTGTGTCAGTGCTGCTGTGCCAGCCTCTAACTGTGTCAGTGCTGCTGTGCCAGCCTCTAACAGTGTGTCAGTGCTGTTCTGCCAGCCTTTGCAACAATGGTCATTGATTGTAGTAAGTAAAATATCTGGGAATCCCCTTTGACCCATACATGTCAGGAGAATTGATAGGGAACAGTGTAGTAAAGAAAGCAAATGCCAGACTGAAGTTCCTGTATAGACAATCACAGTGTCTACCTACTGAGGCTCGCAGGACCCTATGTCTAGCCCTTATACAGTGTCATCTGGATTACACTTGCTCTTCATGGTACTCTGCCTCGACAAAAAAAACTGAAAGATAGACTGCAAATCACCTAGAATAAAATTGTAAGATTTATCCTGGGCCTGGGTCCAAGAGAGCATGTAGGCCAGGATGAATTACAGCAGTTGGATATGCTGAATGTTGAAGACAGAGTAAAACAACTGAAGCTAAATCGGTGGTAAACATTGTTGTAAACAGTTAATAATTAAGCACAAATGAGTATTTCAAAGACAGGTCATATAGTCATTTACTGTGTTGCTGTGCATTCAGTAGAATGGAGTATTCTGTTAGGTAATGTAATTAAAAATAACAAAGTTTGATTGGGTCACAGGTTAAACATTTATGAGATACAATTATTCAGTATTTATTTGGTTGTGGGTGAGTAAGTGATTTTTAAGAAGAGACTTGAATTTATAAACAGACAGTGTTTCTTTTATATTCACAGGTAGTGAATTCCAGATTTTTGGGCCTTTTATGCATAGTGTGAGATGGACACGAGGAATATCAAAGAGTGATCTGTGCCTTGTGTTATGGTCATGTGTTCTGTTGAGGTTGGTAAGGAGACGTTTGAGGGGAGGGTTCATATTCGAGTTTATGTGTTCTATGTATGTAGTAGGTACAATAGTAAGTATGGATGTTTTGTATGGTGAGTAGGTTTAGAGTTTTGAATATTGGTGGAGTGTGCTGTCTGTAGTGGGAATTTATCATTCTGACTGCAGCCTTTTGTTGGGTAATTAATGGTCTGAGATGGTTTATTGTTGTTGAGCCCCATGCACAGATTCCATAGGTGAGATAGGTAAATAAATGAGTGATATAGGGCCAGGAGGGCTGACTGTGGAACATAGTACCGTATCTTCGATAGTATGCCTACGGTCTTGGAAATTTTCTTGGAAATTTGTTGTGTATGTGTTTGAAATTTGAGTCTATTATCAAGGTGGATTCCTAAGAATTTTCCCTCTGTGAGCTTGTGATAGGTGATCCATTTACCATTATGTTAAGAGGGACATCTGTAGCTCTGTTACCAAACTGAATGAAGTAGGTTTTGTCACTGTTTAGAGTAAGTTTATTAGTCCTCATCCAGGTAGAAAAAAATGGAGTTCTAGCGAAATAGCTATGAGTTTGGTCGACTGGAACAATGGAATTAACCGAAAATAGGGCTCAAAGTAGGTGAAATCACAGATTTGCAAATGTCGCCGAGGTTGCTAACTTCACAAGACCGTAATTCCGTCAGTTTTCCATCAAATTTCGTTTTTTTGGTGTCATTACAATCGGGAAAAGATTCTCTATCATTTCATAAGAAAAAAATTATTTTTTTTTTTAATTTTGCGACACCAGGAGACACCTCAGGATTGGGGGTTGTGACAGTCAAATTCAAATTCAAATTCAAACTTTATTCTCTATAAGTATTACAATGCTTAGTTTACAGAATTTGGTTATTGTGTGGTTTACATGTAGTAAAATAATAATTACAGAGTGTACCACTAGAACTCCTAGCATGGCTAGGCATTTCGGGCAGACTTATATTAAATCTTAGGTTCAAAATGTTACAAAATTATGAGATAAGTTGGTATTATGGCTAAGTGACTAAATACTAGTTGTGAGTTTAGCAATGTGAATGCTTTTGTTTTGGCACTATACGTAGTTTCAGTATTGGAGTATCACAGGCCAACTTATGACTAGTTAAGATTCATTATTTTGAGATTGAGATTGATATTTCTATTTATGGTCAAATGGGTGAGTGAGTGTAAGTGTGAACCACCAGGTGGTATTCGTATTATTAGTTGACAGGGTGTATCAGGGAGATAGATGTTTTCTGATGGTAGTTTTGAAGGTGATGAATGTGTCTGCAGTTTTGGAATTTTCAGGTAGGGTGTTCCAGATTTTAGGGCCTTTGACATACATTGAATTTTTGTAAAGGTTTAGTCGGACACGGGGAATGTCATAGAGATGTTTGTGTCTGGTGTTGTGCCTGTGGGTTCTGTCACAACTATCAAGAAAGCATTTTAGGTCAAGGTTAATATTGGAATTTAAGGTCCTGTAGATGTAGATTGCACAGTAGTAAGTGTGGATGTACTGAACAGGGAGTAAGTTTAGATCTATGAAGAGGGGGGTGGGGGTGTTTCCAGGGATGGGATTTAGTGATTATTCTTACTGCGGCTTTTTGTTGGGTTATTATTGGCTTTAGGTGTGTTGCTGCAGTTGAACCCCAAGCACAGATAGCATAGGTGAGGTATGGATATATAAGTGAATGGTATAGTGTGAGAAGGGCAGTTTGCGGCACGTAGTATCGTATCTTGGAGAGGATCCCAACCGTTTTGGATACTTTTTTGGTTATGTGTTGGATATGGGTGCTGAAGTTCAGGTTGTTGTCGAGGTATAGGCCTAGGAATTTGCCCTCATTATGCCTGGTAATTAGAGTGTTGTCGATCTTAATGTTAATTTGCGCATCTCCTGCTCTGCTACCAAACATAATGTAGTAGGTTTTGTCAACGTTAAGCGTAAGTTTATTGGCTGTCATCCAAGTCGATATTTTGATCAGCTCCTCATTAACAATGGTGTTTGAGGGTTGCAAGATTAGGGCGAGAGATGACATAAGTCGTGTCGTCAGCAAAGAGAATGGGGTTCAGGTGTCGAGATACGTTTGGAAGATCATTGATGTATATGAGGAAGAGCAGGGGACCAAGGACACTTCCCTGCGGAACTCCAGTATCAAGTGGCTGTGTTGTTGATGCTGTGTCTTTAATGGTGACATACTGATACCTATTAGTAAGGTAAGATTTGAAATATGCAAGCGCATGGCCTCTTATACCATAATGGTCAAGTTTGTGGAGTAGGATGCCGTGGTCTACTGTGTCAAAAGCTTTTCTTAGGTCAATAAAAATTCCTAGTGGATATTCCTTATTTTCCAATGCTGTGTAAAGCAGATCTAGCATTTTTATAATTGCATCGTTAGTGCTTTTATTTTTCCTGAATCCAAATTGGCAGGGGTTGAGTATGTTTTGTGACATTATAAATGAATATAGTCTCCTGTGCACGAGTTTCTCAAAGATTTTGGATAGCAATGGTAAGTTTGATATTGGCCTATAGTTGTTTAAATCTGTAGGGTCATCACCTTTATGTATTGGTGTAACCCTTGCCGTCTTGAGTAGTTTCGGGAAGGTGCTAGCTTCTAGTGACTTGTTAAAAAGCAATGAGATAGTATGCGAGAGGACATGGGCCACTCTCTTGTACAATAATGGTGGGACATGAGACAGATCCGTGGGCTCAGTTGGAGCAAGATAGAAGGAATTTGGGAAATTCCCATCTAGGTAGTCCCCGGCATGGGCATTGGTACGTGGGATTTTATTGGCGAGAAGAAGTTGTTTATCTTGTTATCTGTGTCGGTGGGTTGCAGTGGTGTTTCATTAGGTTTAGTTAGGACAATATTCTTGTTTTTTTTCCAGTTTGTGGGTCCCTAGAATCTGAGAGTGTTTTCCAGGGGTTAACATGTAATATATATACACATTTTTTTATATTTTATATACTGTACTGTGTATTCATTACATGGTATTTACATGTTTATTTTTAAAGCTATGTGTAAGGTATTGCATAAGCTAAATTACAATAATTGTGCTATTTACGTAGTACTACTTTCTGTGTGAACATGTATATACTTATACAGCCTCTCCTCACTTAATGACAGAGTTCCATTCCTAAGACCACGTCGGTAAACAAATTTGTCACTAAACGAGGAACATTCTATAATGGTAGTGTGTTTGTGTCAACTGTCTTTGATATTGCTCTAATGTTATCTTTGCACCATTCATAACATTCTTAGTATATTTTTAAATGTTTATACAGTGGTATACTGTACGTATATTGGAATAAACAGAATAGAGGAAATCAGCTCTAATATAAAGTGGACCCTCGAGTAACGATTTTAATCTGTTCCAGAGAGCTTGTCCTTAACTGATTTTATTGTTAGCCGATTTAATTTTCCCCATGAGAAATAATGGAAATCCAATTAATACGTTCCAGACACCCAAAAGTATTAAAATTTTTTTTTTTTTCACATGAAATATACAATTTCCTACACAGAAAACAATGATACATGAAGAATAAATACTACATGAAGAATAAATACTACATGAAGAATAAATGACACTTACCTTTATTGAAGATTTATTGATGAGTGATGAGATGGGAGGAGGGGAGATGATGGAGGTGTATTATTGTTTGGAAGGGGAATCCCCTTCCATAAGGACTTTAGGTAGCAAGTCCTTTTCCTGGGTTACTTCCCTTCTTTTTTTAATGCCACTGGGAAGAACTTGACAGTCACTGGACCTCTGTCGCACCAAAAATCTGTCCATAGGGCTTTGTTTCTGGCGTTCCTTTAAGATTTTCCTAAAATGGGCCACAACGTTGTCATTGTAAAAGTCACCAGCACGGCTTGCAATAGCTGTGTCAGGGTGATGTTCATCCATAAAGGCTTGCACCTTTGTCCACATTGTACAACTGTCCTTAATCGTTGAAGAAGGCAACTTCCTTCATCTTCCTCTCCCCCTCTGCAGCAATTTCCTCAGTTGTGGTCTCTTGCTGTTGCAGATGCTCTTGCAGCTTGTCAATGGTTAGCTCTTCATCGTCATCCTCCACTAACTTTTTTACATCCTCCCCACTAATCTCCAACACCATGGGCTTCCCCAATGACACAATAGATTCCACAACTGGTATAGGCTCCTCAGGGTTAGCCCCAAACCCTTCAAAACCCCTCTCTTGTACACACTGTGGCCACAATTTCCTCCAAGCAGAGTTCAAAGTCCTGCAAATCACTCCCTCCCAAGCCTTACTCATAAGGTTTATGCAACTGAGGATACTAAAGTGATCTTTCCAAAATTCAGTGTGTGAAGTCACTTCAAAGCACTTTTGAAACACTGCTTTGGTGTAGAGTTTTTTGAAATTTGAAATGACCTGCTGGTCCATGGGCTGGAGGAGAGGAGTGGTGTTAGGAGGCAAAAACTTTAATAAAGCTCAACTCCCCCGCAATTCGCTCTTGCAAGTCTGGAGTATGAACAGGAGCATTGTCTAATACCAGGAGGCACTTGAGGTCCAATTTATTTTCCAGGAGGTATTTTTTCACAGTGGGGCCAAACACATGATAGAACCAATCATGGAAAATGTCCCTAGTGACCCATGCCTTACTGTTTGCCTTCTACATCACACACAAATTAGCATTGACGACACTGTTTTTCTTGAACATTCTGGGAGTTTCAGAATGATACACGAGTAAAGACTTTGCAATCCCCACTAGCATTACTACAAAACATTAGAGTTAGCCTGTCTTTCATAGGCTTGTGTCCTGGCAGTGCTTTTTCCTCCTGTGTAATGTAGGTCCTGTTTGGCATTTTCTTCTGTTTCGTCACAATTAAATGCTTGTTGGGGTTTTAATTTTTCAGTATCTATGTACTCCTTGAATTCCTGCACATATTTTTCAGCCGCTTTTTGGTCAACTGGCAGCCTCACACTGTGTATGCCACTATGATTCTTAAATCTCTCAAACTAACCTTTGCTGGCCTTAAAAATCACTAACATCAACACTAGTTAAAGGCATTTTCTTAATGAGATCCGCATGCAACTGCCTTGTCTTTTCACATATGATTGACAGTGAAACATTATCTTCTGATAATTGTTTGTCTTTGATCCACACCAATAACAGTCTCTCCACATCTTCGAGTATTTGCAATCTCTGTTTTGTAAGCATACTTGCAGCTTTTGCAACAACAGCTCCCTCGATTGCCTTTCTGTTGGCCAAGATAGTAGCGATGGTTGATTGGGGTTGTTATACAACCAGGCTAGCTCAGAGGCATGCACTCCACTTTCATACTTTGCAATTATCTCTTCCTTCAATTCTGTAGTACACCTCACCTTTTTTACCACAGGGTTGGCACTAGAAGCTTTCTTGGGGCCCATGGTGGCTTATATAGCAGTTACAAGCACTAAAAACAATGGAACAATACAAAATATATCGAATGTATGCATGGAACTGTCCACACTGGCTCGTAAACAGTGGCACACTAGCTGAAGGCAGGGCAACTGAGGTGCGCTCAGGCCGAACGAACAGGCAGGCACGTTCAGGACGATTATCCTTAACCGGATTTTTCATCATTGCCCGAGCCAATATTTTTATGTTAAAACGTATCACTATCCGATTTTATCACTATCCGATGTCATCATTACCCGAGGGCCTACTGTACATTATTTAGGTATGAATATTGGTCAGAGAGCCTGTTGTATGTCAGAGTCATCAGTAAACGAGTACGTCACTAAGTGAGAAGAGGCTGTATGTATTACAGCCACAGTGAAAGGGTTAATTTGATTGACCACTGGTGCACACAACTATAGGAAGTAAACAAACCACGGTACAGGTGGGGATTGAACTCGCTGCAAGTGAGTCATAAAACTCCAGGCCAGTGTGTAAGACAGCGGCTTACGCGCTGGCCTGGAGTTTTATAACTCGCTGCGAGTGCAAACCCCACCTGTACCATGGTTTGTTTGCAATTGTGTCATTACAATTTCGTGAGTCAGCTATAGGAAGTGATATATGTGCTTCATATTCTGCTTCTAATTTTTGTTTCACACAGAAAACCACAAGTTTGAAGTACCACAGCGTGCTGTGTTTACCCCTGAGGATGTGAAGAAATGGGAACAATCAAATGCTTACCAGGTAATGGATATAGCAAATAACTATCATACAGTAAATCATCAGTCATAATCATCACCATCACTACCATATCATTGTTTGACAGCATTGCTCTCTTCCAAATACAGTGGACCCCCGGTTAACGATATTTTTTCACTCCAGAAGTATGTTCAGGTGCCAGTACTGACCGAATTTGTTCCCATAAGGAATACAGCAGGGCCCCGCTTTACGGCGTTTCGCTTTACGGCGTTCCGCTAATACGGACATTTCAAATTATGACCAAAACTCGCTATATGGCTCCCCCACCTGTCTTTCTAATACGGTCACAGCTGCCCACCGAGTTTGTTTACATTCTCCCTGAGCACATCTCCTTATTATGTCTGGAAACTTTCCAAAATTTCAAGTGTTTTAAAGTTATTGTATATTTTATATGTATTGTACTTGATAATTAAACTTGTGTACACCTGTACCTAAATAAACTTACACACTGTGCTGGCATGTAGGTACACATTAAAATCACTAAGTCTCTCTACTCTTGATGCAATAATAATAATAATAATAATAATAATAATAATAATAATAATAATAATCTCTTGGGCGGATTAATGTCGCATATTACGTTAATATAGACATTTCCCTTAATCTATGATATTTTTTTCAAAATTATATAAGAAACGCATTATGTAACAAAAACATGATACATGCACCCACAGTATAAAAATTTATACAAATATATATGAGATGTTTACCAAACGGTTTGTAGAAGTGTCGGAAGAATTACGTTTTCTCTAGCCCATCACCTGTTACTAGGGATAACTGTAGAAAAATATTCCTTTCGTATGCCTTCACTTTATAGCTATAATTCTGTACTAACTTGTACACAGTGTAAGAGTATTTATTTCGTGATTTAATTATTATAATAATAATAAAAACATTATAGGGTAAAAGTTTCATAAACTCTTACAAATGTACATGAATGAACTAAAACTGGACACGTATTAATACCGTCTATTTCGCCTGACCGAGTGATCGTCCACAACCTGTTCAGTTTGTTTGTTTACGCTGTCTGAGCTCGGTGTATCATTAAATGTTGTATATTACATTAATATACACATTTTCATTAATCCATCCGTGATATTTTTTTCAAAATTATATAATAAACACGATACATAACATAAATACATAACATATGTGTAGAGAACCTAGGATAACCCAAAAAAGTCAGAGTGACTTACTTCCATTGCCTTCACTCAGAGCATCATTTCTTCTCAAAATGATGTTACATGAGAATGGGAGTGGTGTTCTTTATTTATTCTACCATATCAATGTAGAGACAACCTGTACACAATGTAACTTGTACACAAACCAGACGTGTACACTGTTTACAAAACTTACCTTCGCCTGGTTTGTTTACATAACTCTGCGCCTGTCCTCTCTCATGCACTCATTCTTTCTCTGGTATGGTAGCCTGGCTGACTACCATACATACCACACTTGATTTTTTACAATAAATACTACTCATCTCACCCTATATTTTAAGGTAAGTAATGAGTGAACTGTATATACATTTTATCGCTCTGGGATGCTTAACCCTTTGAGGGTCGACAGGCCCTCTCCGAAACTCGTTCTCAGGGTCGGCCAAATTTAAAAAAAAAAAAAAAATATTTTCTCTTATGAAAAGATAGAGAATCTTTTCCCGATCATAAAGACACCAAAAGTTTGAAATTTGATGGAAAACTTACGGAATTATGCTCTTGCAAAGTTAGCGGTCTCGGCGATTTTTACGCATCGGCGATTTTGCCCACTTTGAGCCCCATTTTCGGCCAATTCCACAGTACTAGTCGACAAAAAACATGAATATTTCGCTAGAACTCCATTTTTTCTATCGAATGGGTGCAAGAAACCACCCATTTATGAAATTCAACTATCCAGTACAGTGGTCAGAATTTAGCAATTTTGCCAATTTCACACAAATTTCAAAAGATGCCAATTTCCGAATAGGGTCCAGAATAAACAAGAAAGACATTCCTGGCACTAAAATGACATTTCCTCTAGTCATTAGTCACGTCTCAAGGCCCCTCTTATATTCTTTTGCTTTCCATTTTGAATTTTTATTCTCACAAAAAATATAAGATTTACTGTTATGCAGACTACTGCATTAGTGTAAAAAATGGTATAAATATTATTGGTGCACTTGTGAAAGAATATTAGACTCACCAGTTGACGTGTATTGCACGCTTGGCACGATTTGTTTACTTTTGAAGTTTGGTAAAAATCGAACATTTCTGCTACTTTGAGCTCAATTTCAAGGCACCTTTCTTTGTAAAACCAGCCAAAATCATCTCAATTTCTGTAATATGTCTTCCATTCTATAAAATGAGACCAAGAAAACTAGAATACAACAATAATAATTAATACCATACGAAAATACACTGCAAAGTCGCTGATTTATTCCAAAAATTGGTCAAAGTTTTTTTTTTCTCATTATGCACTGTGTGCTGCAGGATTTTTTTTAGACTGTGCACACTGACCACATAGACCCATTCTTTCATATGAAGGCCTACCAGCTTTCTCCCACTAGATTTGAGGCCGCTAGAATTTATGCGTACTAGTACGTCAAAAACCCCTACGCGTAAAACGTACTAGTACGACGAAAACCCTCAAAGGGTTAATATCATAGAATAGTATGTGTGGGTGGGGTGGCCTGGTATGGTAGCCTGGCTGACTACCATACATACCACACTTGATTTCTTACAATAAATACTACTTGTCTCACCATAGATTAAGACTATAAATATTTTAAGGTAAGTAATGAGTGCACTATGTGTGTATTGTACTTTTTTATTGTTTTTTTGATGCCTGGTTCTATTGCTAACATAATATATGTTAGTGTAAACTTGTTATCTAGTGTTTGTATGCATTTGTAAGTGGAAAAAAGGGTGTTCCACTTTACGGGGGTTTCCGCTTTATGGCGGTAGCCTGGAACCTAACCCGCCGTATAAGTGGGGCCCTCCTGTATTGTGAAGTAGATTAGTCCATTTCAGACCCCCAAACATACACGTACAAACGCACTTACATAATTACACTTACATAATTGATCGCATTCGGAGGTAATCGTTATGCGGGGGTCCACTGTACTCATTATCTATCTAGAAATGCTCTGCATAACAAGGGGCTTTATATATTGTAATATGTCATTGATGTCAGCTAGGCCTCTATACATTGTACATGTATGTACTTGTAGAAATAAAGATTGTTATTGGAGGGAGGAGGGTAGAGGGGGGTAGAGGAGGTTTTGTGTGTGAGGGGCTTGGACTTCCAGCAAGCATGCACGAGCGTGTTAGATAGGAATGGAGGTGAATGGTTTTTATGACTTGATGTGCTGTTGGAGTGTGAGCAAGGTAACATTTATGAAGGGAGTCAGGGAAATCAGGTAGATGGATTTGAATCCTGGAGGTGGGAAGTACAGTGCCTGCACTTTGAAAGAGGGGTGTTGATATGTTGCAGTTTTTTAACTGTAGTGTAGGCATGCCTCTGGCAAGACAATGAATGAATGATGAAAATTTTTTTCTTCTTTTTTGGGTCACCCTGCCTTCATGGGAAATGGGCAATGTGTTAATAACAAAAAAAATATATATATAAGTAGTACAAAACATGCTAAGTGCATAATTATAGAGTAATGAAGTACGTACCATTATAAGATTGACTGCTGGAGAGTTATTGCTTTTGTAACTTTGTGGCATATTGGTCACACTCATCACAGCTAGGCCACCTTCACAATTTTCTCATCAAGCAGTGGCATACGGACCAAGTTTACAGTTACAGTTCCATGAAAAATATCTTGTAAACACTGATTATCTCTCACCAGCTCTTTGTTATGAGCTTTGTCGAGCATACACTAGTTTGTATAGAAGTTGTAAAAGTATGATCACTACACAATGGCTAAAACAGCTCACAAATAATCCATATTTTCAAGAGGAAATGTAAATGTCTTTGCTCACTAGACAGATGACTAGTCTCTCCAACCCTTTCTTGTTGCCCTTGACCCAATGACTGTTCATGTAGAACTACTCTATTGACATCAGGATCCATCATGTAGATCTATATCATGAGCTCGGCTCAGTCAGATAAACAGTGAGCAGTAAATTTTGGCCTGTATATGATAGAATGGGCCTGTACAGTGAATGCACACAGTGTATTAAGAATCCTGCCTCATGCATTGCATGAGGGGAAAAGCAAAACTCTGACCTTGTATTTGGTTTAACATAGTGAATTTGAGTTTTTTAGGATTCTTTTTTTTGTGGTTTTATTAGTTGTTTCTTATCATTTGTTAGAATGGAAGACGTTTTAGTGAAGAAGTAACTTGAAATCAGCCTCAAAGTAGCAGAATTATTCTATTTTTGCCAAAATTTGTGAAGACAGGTAAGGCCTTCTCTACATCCCCTGGTTTGTTTTATGGGGTTTTACTAGGTCTGATTCAATTATTGGGACACAGTAAACCATGATTATTAATTCCTGGTTAATTTTTAATAGGGGACATGATTATTGCACAAATGAAATGTACACTTATAGGTACAGTAGGGCCCCGCTTTTCGGCGTTTTGCCTTATAACATTCCGCTAATACGGCGATCTCAAATTATGACCAAAACTTTCTAAACGGCAAGTGGTCTTTCTAATACGGTGCACACCACCCGGTTTGTTCACATTCTCCATGAGCACGTCTCTCTATTGTGTAATAATCATTCTTGGGCACAATAAATGTCTAATTTTACGTCAATATAGACATTTTCATTAATCCATCGTTGATATTTTCTTCAAAATTATATAACACGTTACATAGCATATAAACATGCTGTTTATATGCTATGGAGGTGTGGTTGCTGGGTGGAGGGAAAACATTAGGCTATACTAATAATAATCACTCTTGGGCACATTAAATGTCTTATTTTATGTTAATAATGACATTTTCATTAATCCATATATATTATATTTTCTTCAGAATTATAAAAGAAACACGTTACAT